GGGAAATACGGCTCTAAGGGTCTTCCTTATCCCAAGATTATGAAATAGTGTGCTGTGCTTTCTTCTTGTGCTTCTATAGTGTTATGTTACACATTTGTTTGGTTAGACAATTTATTTTTATGTGTGGTGTGAGGCAGGGATTTAATTTTGCCGGTTTTCTAAAGTTCCTTCGCCAGTACATGTCGTAGTTGATATTTTTTTTTCCATTATGCTCCATGGCATATACCTGTGTGTACTGATACCTCTGAATTTTTTAACAAGTCTTGATGATCCTGGACTTTTGGTGTAGGAAAAAAAGACCCCTTTCCTAGAGCATTAACAGCATTTGTTCGCACAAAACACGAAATGGAGTAGAAGCGTTTTTCAGAACAGCAGGCTTTGTCTTTTATATAGCAACTTGCATTACTAGAGTGCTTGAGATCCTCTGCCTTGGCCCTCCCAGGGTTGGCTCTGTTCCTATGGAGCTTGAGCACTGCATGCGGGAGGGCAGGTACGTACCGGAGCCCGCACCCAGGAGTCAGGTCCCCGCTTACCAGCTTGGGCGGTGCTTGATGGTAAGCGGCCCCTCATGCTCCTGGTCTTGATAGAACTTCGGTTCTATCGCCAGCTTGAAAAGTGGCAGCTGATGGTCTCCTCACGTCGTCTGGAAGGCTTTTAAATGCTGTCTCTTGTTCCTTGGTTTTCAGCCTGCGAGACACGCTGGTCAGTTACATGGAAACTAAAGACAGCGATGCTCTTCCGGAGATGGAGTCCCAGTTCCCGGATCAGATACCACTTTCCAACTGTGTCGCTGCGTGGAAACTGGCCGCTCAGCTGAAACGGGACCGACAGATGAGATAGAGTCACCCCTCGGCACCATCTCTGCCAAGGCTCGGCGACAGAAGGCTCTCCCTGCCTCACCCCTGCGTTGGCCCCACCGTGGACTGTCGCCTTTGTGGGTGCTTAGAAGGAAAGCCTTTGGCATCGCTCCAGGCTCGGGACAACACGTGTGCTGACGGCTCTTCGAGAGCCAGGCTCTATCCAGAGGCCCTTGTGTCTATTCCAAACTTTCTCACATTTTGATGAACACTGGTTACTGGGAGGTGAGGACCGACGCTTACTTGAAATTGCAATAACCCCCCAACCCCCGTACATTCCAAGGAGACTGGAAAAGTCGCCTCTCAGCTTCGCACACAGGAATGCTCGGTCGTGGGCCGCCAGCCTCTTTACGGGACATACCCGGCCACCGGGGCCCTTCTTACTCAAACTACTGCACAAGGACTGGGGTGGGGGCAAGTGAGGTCGCTTTTATTTTTTTTCTAATTTATTCTGCACTTGCTGAAGAGAATTTGGTTTTTTCTTCCTTTCATTTCTTTAAATGCTGAGTACTGAACAAATATTGCCAGGTTTCCAAGAAGGTGAAAAAGCAAAAAAGTGCCAGGTTCTTTTTTGTCTTCTCACAAGTCAGGGCATTCTGTAACAGACCTTGAGGCCAAATTAACAAGCCCTCCCCCAGGCCCAGCCACGAGTCACTGCCACGGCGAAGGTCAGAGCCACAAAGCTCTCACTGTGAAGAGCATTGAGCAAAGCAGCCCAGACACTTCAGGATCTGTTTCCTCATCTAATAAACGAAGGGACTGGACTGATGGCCAAACTCCCTCCCAACCCTGGTACTCTAAAATCCTAAATGAACGTCATCGATGTACACCTGGGTCACAGGCACAGTCCTGGCGTCTCTGTGCGAGGGTTTTGACTGCCTGGCGTCCTGCCAAATAAACACGTGGTCTCAGTGTGGCCCCCCAAGTGTGTGGATGTCTGGTCCTCGCTTTGGGTCTCAGCCAAGGCACAAAAACAGACTGAGAGAGAATACAGGACGAGTTAAGCTTCCAGTACAGGAAAAGGAGAGCAGTCGGCCAGCCTTCACGTTGCGCTGCTTTTCTTACTGTAAGTATGGCGTCTCTTTCACAATCCATTTGGGCGCTTAGCGACCTCGGGACCAATTCCTGTTCCCAGGTGGCCTAGCACGCATTACCATGGAGAAACACTTGTTTACAAGTCAGGCGAAGGTCTTTAACCTGCATCCTAAATGAGTGATGACTCGGTCAACTCGAACTGGCGCCCACGAGTGATGAGAGCTCCCCTGGCACCCGTGGACGCCCTCAGCAGCACGGGGAGCTGCACAAGGCCCCGCACTCTGCATTCTTTGATTTCAGACTGCTCGACGCGGCGGGTACAGTGATGCAGGCCCCGCAGTGACTCATCTGGAACCCCATCAACTTGCACTTAGTACTCTATGCTTGTTCAGTCATTCCATACTATGCAAAAGCACCCTCGAATCGCCATCTGCATCCAGGATTGCAACCTAATTGCCACTTAATCAGGGCGGAGTGTTGCTTGTTCAACTCTTCAACTTGCACTGGGACTCCTTTGATACCTCAGAGTTGGGATGGAGCTGGCCAGGCCATCAGGTGCCACTGTGGTTCTTCAGTGTGCCACAGCTGAGCATTTCCCACACCCCCACTTTTATGAAGGTTTTTACATTAAGATGTTTTGTTTTGTATGCTATGCTTTCAAAGCCTTAATTGTCATTATCTCGCTTATCTTGTTCTATGTACAAAAATACACTAGTAATAAGCAAATGCAGATTTCGTTATATTTGTTATATTCAATTAATAAACTTGAGATTTGCTACTAAATAACACTTTTCTTTGCGGGGAAAACTTCTATGGCAAATAGGCTTTGGGCATGGTTTTGCTGGTTTATGCAAATGCTCGTAGAGGTGTCCATCAGGTAAGACGTACACTCTGGTTAAGAACGTGAGGGTCAACTTTTCCTCTGGACAAAAAATGACGGCACAGCCGAGGACCCACGGGGTTGCACACCGCTCCCCAAAGCTTTAGCCCCTCCTCAGGGGGTGCCCTCCCACTGCCTGCCTAGGGTGACTTCCGCCTAGTGACGCGTCACATGCCAGAGCTGGCAGCGGGTGTGCTGTGGAGCGGGGAGGGGTCCGCAGTGAAAGGAAATCCGGACGTGGGAGCGGTAAACAGAAGCTTCCAGCGGCCCACTTGGATTTGGGTGGCGAACACTACTCCAGGGAAAAGCCGCATCTTCTCTTCCAAAAAGAAATGGCTCCTCCCAGGGAGCCTGTGGCCTAGAACCGCGGCTGGGTCCTCCTCTCATCTCTGACACGTCGTCACTGACCTCGGCCTCCCTCCTGCTCACTCTCCTGCGGGTCATCTGTGGACATGTCCCTTCGCAGTTCTTTTTGCTTTCGGCGCGGGCAGCAACAGTCACGAGCCAGGTGGTACTTACCTGCAAATCGCCATGGCTGACCGCTAGCTCCTTAAGATCTTGCCGTGCGTGTAAGCTATTTACCTTCCGCTGTGGGCTGCAGGATTTGGTCATTCGTTAATGACAGTCTTAAGCTATCGCTTTTTCTTCTCCCTTCCTCCCCACCCCGACAAGCTATTTCAGTTATTCTCGGGTTCAGGCAATTCCGACCTAAAAACAAACTTCCAGAGGAAAACAATCACTGTGAAGAAAAGGTCAGGGCGAAGGGCCCTGCTAGGTAGGTAAGGCATACTCACGTGGGAAGTCGCTGTACCAGCGGGGCTCGAAGGACAGCGGGCGGGGAGGCGGGAGGCCGGGACCTGACAGCCACCCACCCCAGCCATGATTAGCATCTGTACTGCTCTCTGCATTTTTCCAATCCCTCCTTGGTCACTAATTAAGCATCGTGAATCTGTTTCCCACTGGGAAAGCAAGCGCCAGGAAGGTGCGAATGCTGAGTCACATGGTATTCTGGGACAGGACGGGCTTCGTCCCAGGAGGCAGGAGCACTTCCGGAAGCCGGCTGGGGCAAGAGCAGAGTGAAGGTGGAGGGAAAAGGCCGGGGCTGGAGCACATGCAAGCCGTCCAGCGACGCTGCACATCCCACAGAGACCTGCTGCCAGCCCCGAAGAACTCCCGGGAACGGGACCCAGAGCCTCCGACCACTCTAAATGACAAGGCTGACTCTCAGCGCAGCCTAGACGGACCCCAGAAGAAATCCTGGCTCTTCCGTTTGCCAGCTCCACGGCCTTGGGCAAGCCACGTGATCTCTTTAAGCCTCGATTTCCCCACCTGTAAAGTAACTCTCGCTGCTGCGGTGAAAAATAAGTCCGTGTAGGTAAATAACTGGGCACAGTGCCTGGCACTCGTCCCAATCCCAGTGGAAAACTCAGCCGCGTCCCAAGGCCCTGCGGGTTGTCATACGTTGCCCGAAGCCCCTCGACCTCAAACACACATCCTCGCCCAACGTGTGTTCCTCCTGAGATCTAAACCAGACGCGTCTTCTCTGAATTTCCCTAGTACAACATGCCCACCGCACCGCGGGGCTCTGGGCAGGAGTCCGTGTCCCAAAGGCCGGCCGCGCCGCTGGTGGCGGGTGGCGGGTGGCGGGTCGGGGACGCTTCCTGAGCGCCAGGATCCGAGCAGTCGAGTCCAAGTCCGCGAGTCCGGCTGGGGGCTGTGTCCCCCCTCCGCAACTTTGGGACCGTCACTGAGACTGAAGTCAAGGAGCCACGTAAGTGGCAGATGCTCGGCGATGGGGTTCGGGACACGCTACCCTAAATTGCGGCACCTTGGCCCACTGAAGAGCAAGCGGAAGGAGTTTGGGGAACCGGCGGAACTGGGGCGGTCACTCCCGATCTTTACGCCGAACCCCGAACCGTGTGCGTGAAGGATGCCGGGAGGGAGACTGGAAACGGAGGGCCCGGCCCCTGCCTAAGCAAACTTTGTCACTTCTTCACCGTGTACCGCGCAGCTCAGTCCTCTCTTCTCAATCCTCCACAAAGTCACTGTCCGTTGGTCTAAAAAGTAACGTTTGCTGCTCTGGTCACTCCCTCGGGTCGTCATTCTCTGGCGAAGGCTTCTGCGGACGGGAGAAATTCGGCGAACGCACGTGCTTTTCTCCTGCTGTCCCCCGAGGGCGGCGGAGGCGGCGAGGCCTCCGGCCACGAGGCGGCGACACTCGGGGAGCGACGCGCCGTG